TGTGAGTCGACCAAGATACACAAATATTTATAGGAATCAACAAACTCAATGGGGACACCATTTGAGGATAAAATCAGAGGAAGAACTGCGGGGACCAACTTCCTGTTTGGAAACAACATCCCTTTGGTTTGATCAGCATTTAGGACAAGTTTGAGGTGGAACAAATCTGTCTGGACGATGTCAAAGGCGGATTGCAAAAGATGGAAAGCCTTATCAACTGTTTTAGCTCGACAGTAAACAACTGTGTCATCAGCATAGAAATGTATGGATGCATCAGGGGCTGAGATAGAAAACATGCAGGATAGACTTTATTATTTAGAGCAGTTTACCACAGGGCAGACTAGGATCTTGGTTAGAAGTTGTATGTACGAGTCCATCAACTGCTTATGTGGAAGCAAAAAGACAGAGTGAAACTTTGGTAACAGAACAAAAATAACACCTGCGTTTATAGATAAGGTTCTGAACGGGTCAGTTTTAAGGTCTGATGATGCTGCAGCTTTAAGAGCTTATACGTTCTTTTTAAGAAGCTGCTTCAACACAATGGATGAAGCTGGGTTTATTGACGAGCTTCAAAACTCAACCAATAAAAGGATTCTTGTTTCAAAGTTGCCTTTTAGACTTTGTGATAAATGGCGAATAATTATGGTTGACAGCACAGAAGTACGATTGTGGAGCAAAGCTTCAAGATCTTCTTGATTTTCTGGAAAAACAAACAAGAGCTGATTTAGATCCTGTTTTTGGGGAGAGTCAAAATCCAAAAGAAAAGATGACATTAAAACTATCAAAAGTTCCTTTTAAAACTAAAAGCAGCAGTTTTGCTGCTTCTGTTGCTGTAGTTTCTGAACAGAACAATGACCAACAGGAACAGGAAACAGGTTCGGTTTAGCCGTGAAGATACAAACGTGGTTCAGACTCGGTGCTTGTTTTGCAACAGAAAGTTTCTTTGGAGAAATGTGACTCGTTCCGGCAGAAACCCAACAAAGAAAAGGATTCAAGGTTCTTTATCGTCATTCTACCACATGTGCTCTGAGTTATGTTCACAGGGTCCCAGTTACATCCAACAATAAAATTAAAGTAAAAACAGTGATAACATCAAAGATATGAACTAAGAGAAACATCAACTAAATATACACGAAGCACTAAAGGTATATAAACAATGCTCCCAACAGCAGCACGAACATGAGTCTGTGTGAGAAGATGAGCACGCATGAACACATCAACATGAAACAGATCAGCAGCAACATGAAACAGATCAGCAGCAACATGAAACAAATCAGCAGCAACATGAAACAGATCAGCAGCAGCATGAAACAAATCAGCAACAACATGAAACAGATCAGCAGCAGCATGAAACAAATCAGAAACAACATGAAACAGATCAGCAGCAACATGAAACAAATCAGCAACAACATGAAACAGATCATCAGCAGCATGAAACAAATCAGCAGCAGCATGAAACAAATCAGCAACAACATGAAACAGATCAGCAGCAGCATGACACTGATCAGCAGCAACATGAAACAAATCAGCAGCAGCATGAAACA